ACAATCCGATTGTCAATCGAGTCGTTATTCGCTCGAGGACACAATCTGATTGGACCGATTTGATAACGCTTGCTTGCTTAAATACGTGTACTGGGGGCACAATAAAGACTCCCTTTTCTTGCGACCATGCTCCTTGTCCTCTTTGAGGGATTGAAACAAAGCTTCTGGGGCGCACAACCCATAACTTTTGGCAACATTACAACATGAGCCAGGAGTAATTTATTGGTGCAGTTGCCCGCTTTTTAAGGCCACGACTTCTCACAGTTACAAGAGCAATAGCACTGAACACATCCAGACAAACAGAAATTAGTGATTTGGCACACGCACACCCACATTCGGCAGACAGATAAATTTACATCCAACAACCCGACAGCTCACTTGCGCGAAATGTTGGGGGCGCCGCAACACTAGTGTTAGCGCATGCACACATTCTGTTAAGTAGTCAAGCCCCACCATCAAAGGGTTCTAAGCTCACAGAACAGTCCACGAAGTTTTTGCTACATAACCGCTAATGAAGGCTTTTGAATCAGTGGTGCTCGGGCCGCAGTTCTGCAAAAGGAATGCATTGGGACTGTACATCCACATTCATTCTCAGCCAAATGGACCAATTATTGCCGACCACACCGGTCAATATTCGCATGTACAAAACAATACCCGAGGCTCGGGGTCACGGAGATTTTTATGAGGTAGCAGGATGAGGAGACAACAGTAATGCCTTAAGTAGTCCCAAAAACAGAAGTTTGCGTACACTGAATCGGTATACAGGCACGCATAACGTAAAATCCCCAGATAAGAGAATCATTAGCTCGACAAAGACCATTAAAATTGTCTAAATTTGGACAACGGGTAACCCTATGATAGTTCGACCATCGTGTGCTCCACAGCTAAGTGGGCACAGAGACGGTTACTCGACACATCTTTCGCACTCTCTCACCTTGTTCTTGTGTTAAGGCGGAATCAAGAAGGCCGGAGGCGGGATCGGGGTAACAGGGCCGGCGCGGCGTGAACCCACCGCAAAAAAAGGGATTTCCTCCAAGGAGGGTGGGTTCGGACTCTAACTGAGTATGTGTGCCATAAATAACATTTGTGGACCGGTTATTAGGAATAAAGAGCAGTGCTGTGACACATATATACGGCAGGCCATTACTGTGGGGGAGGCCGAGCAACGAGTCAGGAAAGCTGTTGAAATGTTTCACGCGCAAGTGGTTCCGTTTCCCGTGAAGTAGTAGGGGTGCCTAAGGTAGATAGCCACCGGGGCAGTTTCCTACGACTAGGAGTGTTTTGTTGCGAACAGAAGAATGTTAGCCATAAAGTAATCATGTGGAAGTGTAAAATAAGCGGAAGTTTAGCAGATTATTTGTAACAGAAGAACTAACAAGCGGTAAAGTCCTGGATATGTTACCTTGTCTCTGCCCTTCTCCTTGAGTTTATTCAGAGAACGTTCAACACCTTCATTCAGTAGATCGACCAACTTGATAGTTGTACCTGATCTGGTCTTGAACTTCTTTCTGAAATACAAGGGAGAATCAAATGTAAAAATAGGTAGGAGGAAAACAGGGTTCCTGAGCTGGGGCTGGACTTTGCAGTTCGATCAAGGCGATCAAGGCAGGGAAGCACTTGGTAAATAGGAAGGGTGACAGCGGCCATTCTAGGGCAAGTATCCTAGTGTACCCTGGAAAACGTCGCAACATAACAGTGACCGACAGAATATTCAAATGCCTTGCGTAATAAGTGTCCTGATACCGATTGAATAAACAAGCGTTGTGGGCTTTAATGGAGGAACAAAGGTCAAGAAGAAGTTACTTCGGATTTAGAACTTTGTGACTTATTATAGGCATAGTTCACTAATCCGCTTCGGTAGGTTTTACTTCAATGATGACTTCAAATTTTCATATAAGACTCCCAGAATATGCCTTTCTCAATTTGACAGGCCTACTCGGCGAACTATTTGAAATGTCTTGGCGTATTTTCGGTGAGCTCTTTTTCCCATCAGATGCCTTGCTTGATTTGCCAATCAAACATACAGCCTATCATGATCATATTAGCAATTTCTATGCCAGCGAGAGAATTGCCAATATTGGAAATACATTAAACTTATCGAACACATCGGAACCATTTCCTCATTAGGTAGTTAG